TTGTGTTTAAAAGTCCAAAAAACATTTAATTTTTTTACAGACGAGATTGACAAGTAGCAGTGTTATGCATTTACTTTGTCTTTGCAGGAGTGAAAGAGAAGGAGGAAGAGAAGGACATAGAAGGACACTGAAGTTTGTGCTAGATGGAGAGTTGTTTTTGACTTTGTCCAAATAGTGGCACAAAGCAAATGATTGTTTTGCTTAAGTAGATTGTAGTGGTTAATTGAAGTGTTTTGTAATATGCTAGTGCTAAACACTTTGAACATGGTGTAGTCATCTTGGGAGCATTTGTATGGAATGTTGTCTTTATTCCATCTTGCTTCAGGCCAAAAGAAGAGGTTTAACCAAGTTGTTCCACTCCTGATGATGGGACCTTAGTTGAATCCTGTGAGCACATGTGGTTGACAGTAGTGTTGTGAGTATGTAATCTGGCCATCTTTACCTGAAGTGTTAAAGCTAAGAGCATACATAAACAATGATGAGTACATTCTCTTTTCTTTCTTTTCTTTGTTGAAGACTTCCATTAGGCAACTGAACATGAAATTTTCACTCAACACAGGAGGTGGGCTAAGACATAACCTACCACCCACACACCAAAACCATTCTAATGAGGATTACAACAACCCACCAGACTCCTAATGACTTAACACTTCCCCAGATGACCCTGACTGGATGGACCTGAAGTAGCTTTATTTTTTGTCACACTCTCAGTATATATTTGCTCTACTCCCCTCCACCAGTTAGATGAGAAGCGAAACGTCTTCTTGAGAAAATTTCACTTCCAGTTGCCTAATGTAACTCTTTAACCTTGACCTGGATGACTGAGAATCTTCATAGACAACTCTTTTCTTTATTCGCCTTATTGAACTCAGGTTAAATTTGTATGGTTAAAAACAACACTTGTTCTCCTTGATGGCCAGCGAGGTGTCATTCTGATGACTTTATTTATAACATGATTTACCAACTGTTATCACATCAGTCATTTACATAAGAGTTCTCACCTTGGCACCTTGATGTTGTTGATGTGCCTGCTGTGCACCTTGGCTTTAGAATAATCTCCAGAATAATGACAAATAAACAACAAAAATAAATGTTCCTCATTAGTATTTGTATATTAGTATTTCATTTCTATAATACTGTGTGCAAACTTTCTTTTACAGCATTAATTTGTTTACGTTGCGTGTGACGATTACCTACCGATCTGTGGATCCCTCTGGGCGAACAAGTTCATGAAACACTGATAGCCCATCTTCTTATCTGTGGAAAACATGATGATGTTGCCACTGAAATCGAACCTGTGTGTTCTGATGGCAGACATTACAGAAGGGACACAGAGCAAAAATTAAACACCAAAATATAAATCACTTGACAGGAAATTATCCAAAATACATTTATACAATAATATTTCTACTGGAACCGCCTATATAGTTACATTATTTCACTACTCAACTATTTACACTGTGCATATATTTCATACATTATATATATTTGTTCACATATACCTGTAATTATACTAGTTCTGCTTATACACTGCCTGGCCAAAAAAAAAAAAGTATACACATATAGGTATCATGTACTTTACTATACATACACATCATACCAATGTAATTTAGAACAATAGTACAACAAAAAATAATATATAATAACTGTGACTGCAACCAACAACACCACACATGCCAACAATAATTACCTACTAATCTACTAATACTAGTAACACTAATCTATCAATCTACTTCTACTAACAGACTAATCTACTAACTACTATACTATTAATATCCTATAGTCACAGTACTTGTTAAGTGCAATCATTTCGTGTCACTCACCCGATCTTTAGCGACGGAAAACAGAAGGTCTCCTTCTCTGTTGTACTTGATTGTGATGAACCGTTCGTGGCCCTACAGTAGGGTGGCTCTTTGTACAGAAAAGCAATATTTGCAAGTTCATTTAAGATTTTCAAAAAGCCTAGCTCTAACTCCGAAAAACTAAATACGAATCCTTTTAACGTCTGACAAAAGCTAACGTTAGCTGCCGGGACACGATAGCGTAAACTGCACTAACGGTCTGGAACGAACGACTACCATTATACAACCAATATACAATTGTTTTTTTTTTCAAAAACCCACCATTTAAATCAATCTGATGTAGCCACCGTGCTCAGTTTTTTTTTTACTTGAAACCCCACTGGAAGCCCGAACGGCTAACACCCGTGTCTCATGCGCCGGATCTGCAACCGGAAATCTGCAACCGGAAATCTGCAACCGGAAATCTGCAACCGGAAATCCGCAACCGTCCACACGATTACATAACAACACGTGCTGTTTTTTCCTATTTAACTATTTCCGTTAGTTTCCGTAGTATTTTTGGTGATATTTTGACAAAAACTTTTTCGGTAAAATTCTAGTTTTGTGTCATGTAATCCGATGCTGAAAGATTTTGAAAATTTTTGGATTTTTTTTTCTCATAATTTTATCTTTTCTGCATGTTTCTCAAGAAATTAGAGCATTTTGAGATTTTTTTAAAGATTTTTTTTTTTATTTTTTGGTAAAATTCTAATTTCGCATCTCATGTAGTCCGATGGTGAAACATTTTGATGAACATTTTTGGAAAAAATAATTTCTAAATTTTATCTTTTCTGCATGTTTCTCATCAATTTACAGAGTTTTGAAATAATTTTTAGAAAACATTTTTTTTTCAGTAAAATAAGCAAAAAATTTCAATAAAAAAGAATGCAAGAGCTAGAATTTTATGTGTCAACATCTAATAGCAAGCAATAGCAGGTGGTGCTGCAAAGGACGTCAAGACAAAAAGTAGTGTTTTAGTCTCACATAGTGTCAGATTCCCACATGCTATGAAGAAGTTTAAGCATATGGATTTCCAAATGTTGGTTTGTTTTTCATCAGGAAGGGTATCTGACATTAAATCCATGAAAAATCAATGACCAAGGTAAAAAAAATATTGAAAATGATGGCATACTTTCATGTGTTCTGAAGTTAGTGACCTACGTGACTGCATTGCCATAAAACTCAATTTAAATTTTAAAGGGTACAAAATTTCACATTAAATTACTGCTAAAAAAAACATGTTTCAACTGTGCAGTAATACGCAAGCCCTTACAGATGCTGATGTGGACTGAAACCTGACGATTCTGAGGAGGAGGGGAGGAATACAACCACAAGAGTGTAAATTATAGTTTTTTTCCTTGTAGAGATGCTGCTGAAACACAGGCTTTGCTGCTAATACCTATTTAAATGTGGGTCATTTGATGGTGCAGGGCCAAACCAGGCCACTGCCAACACATGGATCAGGCTAAAGTGGAACAAGCCATGTGCCACAGTGCTTCCTCTTACACACACTTCCCTCCAGTTAACTCAGTTCATCCAGCTTTAACCGGAGCTGCAGAAGATTATTTCTAGTGCCATGAAAATGGACATGATTCCAAAATGAATACGTTCATCTTTACGAGTCATTTAAAATTTAAATTTGATAAATAGCATAACAGAGCAGCCGCATTTTAAAGAGATTAAAGTGGATTTGTGGGCCATAAAGCAAGAACTGGACAAAGTAGTTACACTTGCCTTAATTATCACATTAGGCCTAATCACCATTGGTCCATTTTTCATGAAAAAAGCAGAGCAGCCGGAGTGAAAATTAAACTTCCGGACCTTCACCGTCAGATTTCGTGAGGGTGGGTGTTAATGACTAAACCATCTGGTACTGATGTCATTGAGTGTGAACTGTCCAAGGTTGGAGAGTGTCTTGGTGAAGCAGCTGCCAATGACCACATCTGCTTCTCTTCCACCCATGCCCTTGTTTTGGATACAGCACTAACAAGCTTCACCTCAAATGCACATAAACATGGAGACAGTTGCTGTTGTTGCAGTGACAAATTTGAACTGAATGATCTTTGTTCAGACCACAGGAATCTGTGTGCAAATCATTACAGTTTTTTTTTCTTCTCTCTACCCAAATGTGCTTCAGCAGATGAATAAATTAATCTGATTAGCAGCGAAATTAGCTTTTTCAATACACAGTAATCGTCGCCTGCACATGGCTCTCAGCTGGTTTAGGGTGGTTATCTATCATCAAGCATGGTAATGCCTGCTGTTACCTTGGGTTGAAACACTTATCCCAGGAAAGGTGCAAAAATGTAAACACTGTAGAGAAGTATTTACAAGATGGCTTTTCTCATAAGATAAAAAAAAAACAAACAGCCATTGATCTCAAACTACAGCTGTCTAATGAGAGATCGAGATTAGAGATCAAGATTAGAGAGCTAGCCTAGTTGTCTTTCAGCATCAATAGTGTAAGAGAGCTGTAAAAAAAACAAAGAAAGTCTTGATCGACTGAAGCCAGAACGTACCAACCAGTCGACAAAAAAAAATAAAATAAAAAAAAAATAGAAAACTATTAGTTATTGTTGTTGTATGTTGCTTTTGACCAAAGGTTGATATTACAAAAAAGTTTTTTTCAGAATTTTAACCATAAAAATGGACATTGTTACATAATTTAAGGCAAATTAATGTATTATTATTCGTTTTTGAGAAACTTTTATTTATGAAGACGTTTTCGGGAAATTATTAGTATAGTAAGTTACTGTAATGAAAGGTTGACGTACAATAAAAGTACATTTTTTCTGAATTTTAACCATAAATATGGACATTGCTACATAATTTAAGGCAAATGAGTGTATTATTATTCATGTTTGAGAAACTTATTTTTAAGCCTTTTTTCAGGAAATTATTAATATAGTACGTTACTGTGCTTAAAGGTAGAATTTTTCTGAATTTTAATTAAACAAAAGGGCATAGCTATGTTAAGGTAAATAAGTGCATTTTTTTATTCATTTTTTTAAAACTTTTTTTAAAGACCTTTTCAGGAACCCTTAAACCATTAAACTAAATCCACAGATCCACACCAAAATGAATTAGTTCTTTTCTCGCCTCAACCCTTTCCTTCTAATGTATCTGTTTGTAATGTAATCTAATTCTGGGAACAGACTTTCCAAATGACTGGCACACGTAACTTCTCGGGAATAAATATTATCACAATAAAACACATACATCACAATCAGTGTATTTGCAAAAACATTTGTCAATTTTTGGTGCATTTTTCTTTCACTTTCCCTAATTATACATTTTATTAACTCAACACTGTTCAGTGGTATGTAGTTTAACTTAATTACACATACATTGGCCAAATTAACTTGGTCTTCACGCTCTGTCTCTGAGCTAGTGCATGAGTGAAATTATGTAATTAACTCATCAGTCCCCTAATCAGTCCTTCATCTATTTCTCTAGTTGTTAATTGCTGCTCTGGGAACTGGCATATTTAGAGGCATATAGTAAACATCTGTGAACTAGCACCAGCACTGTTGTGGTGCGAGGCAGCCAAGCGGCAGTCTCACCTGGAGAATCTGCACAGAGAGGTTTTCAAATCTGTCGACATTAAAATGATGACAGATGTGAAGCCACACAGAGCTTTTAATCAAACCAGCTTTTTAAAATAGACTGACCTGAGTTACCTACTGGTGTGGGAGTATTGTTTCAAATGTATGATGAAAAATGTTTTTTTTCTTTTAAACGCTTGCAATTATGTTATGACTCAGAAGAGGAAATGGAGCAGTTCAGTCTTTTGAATTGAATGGAACCAGCTAATGACTCAGCTACGGTAAGAAGTCATGTAAAAACTAGTGTTACAAGAAACTTTTTAAGGTTTTTGTCATTTAAGAAGCTTTAATATCTTTAAGTCTCTGCAGCACGGGTCAAATTCTCTGTTTGTAACAAATGCATGATGGGTAACTCAAAATTCATCTCTTGCAGTCTGTTTAAATTCTTTATTCTGGTCAATTCATCATCAGTGTTAGACTGTTCTAGAAATGTTAATTCCGGTTGGCCCACAACTTAGACTTTCCGTTCTTACTGTGCTTCTGTTCGACAATCCTGCTCTTTAGTTGCTGTGTTACTAATATCAGCAATAGGCATAAAAACACATCCTTGTAGTTCTAAAATTCAGGTTACTGCAATGGTCACCAAGAATGCTTCATAATTAGTTTTTGAGCCTCATGTGTCATAATTTCCTGTAGCCAACAATAACCCCAATTAGACTATGTTCTGGTCATTGTTATATGTAACAAACATACTTTCAATGAAAAAGGAAGTATGGTTTTCTAGGAAACAGTATCAGGTTACACACAGAGAAAAAAAAGCCAAGTAATATACAACACATGATGTTTACTTTAGAAACAACTTTAAAATACAAATACAAATACAAAAAACATTTTAATGCAAAACCCTTTTTGCTAAAATGACTTAAAGCAACACATTTTGAGTGTTGAAAATTGATTATAATAATATACTATTCTGTCTGTTCTGTAAAAAGCCTCTAAATGCCAAGAATTACCCTGATATATTCTGGCATTTTTATTATGAATGCTTTAGAACAATACTTTTTTATTGTTAAAAATGTAAAAAAAAAAAAAACCACAAAAATAAACGCAAAAGTATATTCCAAGTACAGGTTATATTGTTTGTGAAACAAGAAAAATAAACCTAATTACCCTCTAAAATCTTCTAAATCTATATAAATTCACATAGCTTGATTAAGAAAAGGAAAAAGGAAAGTGAACTACTTGTCATTGTGACACAGCACACCAATGGACACAAAATGTGACCTCTGCTTTTAACCCATCACTAAAGTGAACACTGGGCAGCTTTAAGTACCCGGGATGCAGTGGGTGGGGATGGTGCCATGCCCACCACTGCCAGTTATGTTTAAAACATAACAAATAAAACATGGAAACTAAAAAACATTACTTTAATGCTACCCATCAGGTCAGACGATGACCTTGTTGTATCAAAATACACAGCGGAAATATGTTACAGCTGACATATTTTCTTTCCAGAAAGTCTTAGGTGTTGAACTTGAAGCTAAAAACAACCTCAGCTCCACCAAATTGAGCCATTGATACTGAGCTAAAAAGCCCATCATTCCCCTGCTGATACATTATGATCAGCGTGTGCTACGGGGCAGCATCAATCTTTGTTATGGCCCACAATTTTAGACTCACATGGTGCCAACAAGCAATCATCACCACGTTGGTTTCAGATGCTGTTGTGACAAGGAGCCTGGCAGAGTTTTATACTCTTCACTGGCAACAGTTCAAACACTGGGCTTTTGAGTTAAACAAGGCCATTCTTGTCTTCCTGGAAACAAGCACTTAAAGTTGTGCTTTTAAAGGCCTTTTCTGATTTAACCCACAGCCCTTAGATCTA